ATTTATTATGCCGAATATTGGGGGGGGGGTTGAAATTTTTTTTGGAGGGGTGGACATTTTGTTTGGGGGGGTTATAGCTAATATTGGGGTGGTAGCAACCCCCCAGAAAATCCGTCTATGGTTCTAACTCCAATTATGGACTCTTTTACTTACAGCAAGTTTGTAAACACAGTACCTTTCAAATTCCAATGTTACAGTAGGTTCATATTTATGTTATTTTTCGCTTTTAAAGTATTAACTACACTTATTATATAAAGTATAGTGCTTTATAGAGATTTCGAGCACTGATAAAAGTGATAATTTCACATGTGAGATTATTTATGATAATCTCACATGTGAAAATTATCGCTTTTCAATTATGGCTTTTCTGTAAAAATTATCGCTTTTCAAAGACTGCCCTTTATATAATAAACAGAAAAATACATGGGTGCTTGGAAATACCAGATTTATTTCTCGTGTTGATCATGAACATCAACACTCGAAATAAATCTGGTATTTCCGCGCACCCATGTATTATTCTCTATTTATCTGGGTTTTTTCTGCAATTAAGAGTTTTACCCACCTTACAGAAGCTTTAGGTATGGAGCCATACAATAATGAACTAAGTCCTCGATACAGACCAAAGAAACCATGACCTTTCACAGTTTTCTTAGCACAATCTATAGGTCCCGTGTATTTTGGAACAGCAGCTCTTTCATCCAACTGTAATTGTGTTTTGACATATTCTGTTGGAAATGTACAAAGAATTTCCAAACCGCCAGCAATACCACCTGAAATGTTATTCATAAAATAATGTTATATTTTATACACTTGTATGGTGCAATCCATGGAACTGGACCAAATGTATTGCAAATGTATTGACACAGTGAGAGAGTGCATAAGCATAATGCGTTATTAGTGTTCCCATAACACATAGACTGGAAGTGTGACTGTCACATTACTTCAGTTGGAATGTGACATTACAGTACTTCATCACTGCACATGCCTTCAGAAGTTTTAACTTTGCAAAATAATCATGAATCTTTTATATCAAGGTTCATACAATGTGGTTAACCCATTGAGTGGCAGCACTCTCCCCCTGACGAGTAAAATCATCTGGCGTTAGACAGAGTAATATAATAAAGTAGGCCGTATCTGGGTGCATTGCCATTTAAAGGGTTAACCCCACTGAACTACAAAAATATGGATGTGCAAAATCCCAACTGTTCTTACAGTGTAAAGATGTTGCCGGCTGCTGGGCCTTCCACAGGCAGGAAAATGGTATGTGAGAAACATTAAAATTAATAAGATTTACCAGGTTACTCGCATATTTAGCATTTTTGTCCAGCAGTCATTCAGCTGGCATAACTAAAGAATAGTCCACACTAGAAAGCACTGTTTGCATGTGGCTACTGGCTACATGGCTATGTCATGGTGATTAGGCATGGGTGGTTAGGGTCACTATTCCATAAACAAAGCACCACAGACACAGCACTTTTAAGGTTTTACACACAATCAAGCTGTGTGGCAGAGATGTTTTGCTAATTTTAGAAGTGGGGGGACGCTCTCGAAAATCAAATGGGCATGGTCACTTGATTGGGCGCGGCCTCATGCATAGTCATAGTGAACAAGTACATATGCATAGCTTAATCTTTGAACTGGATTTAGTAGAACATGATACCTAAAAAACACCTAGCTTGCTCGCAGTAGATGTCAAAAAGCAAATAAAACCACGTTGACTTTCGAATTTCGATGATGCAATTAGCGCTATGTGAGCACTGAGTATCCGGCAACTCGGCAAGCAGTGAACTTTGCAACTGAGTTAAATATGACGTTTTCGCGAGTAAATAAGTTTAGATAATAGATATCCTTGAATTTTTCCCATTTAATCATGTTAATGTTCTTATTGAATCATTTTATGTTCCCATTGATCATTTTAATGTTTAATTTCGCGATTGTGCGAAAGACTATACTAATCATATCTTGCCTGGCTGCTGCCTGA